TTATTTGCCAAGAATGCAATTAAAGAATAAAATGAATTATTTTCTCACTTGCTATCAGAAATAAAAAGGACTGAAAGCAAAAGAATACAAAAAATGTGGGGCTCAAAGAAACATCTGCTATTAACCTCACTTGTCCAGGAGCTGTCTCTTACAGTAAAATTAAATAAGATCAATGTATGTTCAGTGATAACTCAAAGGAGGCACACATCTACACCAATAAATTCACCATGAATATAGACAAAATCAGCATAAGATATTTCCGTTTGTGTTGTAAGATGGTATACCTAGTAACAAACAATTTTAAGGTATAGTCTAGTATTTTATGGTTAACAGTTTTAGGAACAAAGGCCAACAATACTATATTCTGGATATGCAAACGACACAGAGAAAAGTAAATGAAGAAACATTGAGAAATGCCACTTTTCTGTGTAGCACATTATAGGCCTTTTCATATGACACAAAGTTCAATACAGTTTTAGGAACCTGAGAAAACACTCTCCCTAACGTCTGACTTTCAGTGTATACACACAAGTTATTTCTAAGAAGATATTTTTACCTTATTTACATTGAATTGGTTTGTAAATTCTCTTTCTCCCCAACTACCAGTCACATCTGCAGCTCAAGCATTTCTTTCCCAAGAAAGAATAAGGCCAAGCAAGTCAAAGAATTTGCTGATACATATGTCACTCCAAGAATTTTCCTGACAAAGTCTCCACACCCAATTTAATTACTTCCCTACTGTAAAAACACTTTCCATCTGTATTCATTCTAATCTTTTCAAATCCAAAACCAACATACTATAAAGTGAGCTAAATGAGTGACATGAGCGTTAGGTTCCAAGTGAGGCAGCACTTTATAAGGCAGTGGGTCTGCAGCCGGCATGCATTTTATGCTGATGCAGTATTTCATTTGGAGCTCAGTTCTTTACTTCGTATTTTGTTTGAATAGAATTATCTAGCCCTAGGCTTTTAAATCTCTATCTGAATCTCTCATATTATTCTCTCTCTCTCTCTCTCTCTCTCTCTCTCTCTCTCTCTCTGTCTCCTCTCCATCCTTCCCTCTAGCATGGGAAGGGAGAGGGAAAGAGGGGGAGAGGGAGAGAATATCTGAATGTTTGGTTTTTGATGACCATAAAAGAATCTAGTCATATATGTATATAATAAAGTAATGTTGTCTATAATAAAGGCATTTTGGTGTGGGGTGTTTTCTGATAGGTTATTAAAAACTGAACCTTAGTACATGCATATAATAAATACTGTGTGGGGCATTTCTTCTTATACTAGTATATATTTTTATTGATTTCAGAGAGGAAGAGAGAGAGAAAAATTAATGATGAGGGAGAATCATTGATCGGCTGACTCCTGCATGCCCCACACTGGAGATCAAGCCTGCAACCTGGGCATGTGCCCTGACTGGGAATCAAACCATGGCCTCCTGGTTGAAGCTCAACCACTGGACCACACTGGCCGGGCTGGACATTTCTTGATTCGTTGACTATTTATTAAGTTATTGTATGCTTTTTGTGCAGAATGTTCTTTAGCATATTTTATTCTCTTCTTGGTATTCCATCATTGCATTACTTAAGTGCTAGTTTTGGCACTCTAATACCTAATACCTATGACTAACAGAGAATCTAAGAATAGTCACATCTTTATTTTACAGACACTTCTAGGCTTTGCAGACTGTCCCCTGCACCAGAAGTTAAGAGAGGAGACTATCCATTATCAAAATGACTGGGCAATTTTGAACCAGTAAGTGATTCTAGATCATCTTGAAGGTCTTTCCACCTTGGATGTTAATAAGTAAGGATTGTAGTTGTTTTTTTGATATCACAAAGTATTAGAGTCATTAGAAATTGATTTGTCTAATTTTACCCATTTATATCACAGATTAGGAAACTTTTAGAAGCAGCTAATCCATGGTAACTGACTACTGGTTTCCAGGAAGTCAAGCTACTTTTCAATTAATATATAATTTATTATACATGAATATCCTATCTAATAAAAGAGAAAAATGGAAATTAGCGTATGACCGCTACCCTTCCCATTGGCTAATCAGAGCGATATGCAAATTAACTGCCAGTCAAAATGGCGGTTAACCGCCAACAAAGATGGCGGCTAATTTGCATACTGCAGGCAGGATGGGACAGCACTATTCTGCCTGCTCTGCCGCCATCCGGGCCTGCTATCTGTGACCCTGATGGCAGGCGACCCCTGTGCAACCCGACCCAGGGCTGGCAGGCATGACCCCAGCGATCTGCCACTGGCCAGGCCCCCAACCAGGAGCGGGAGATCCCCCGGCACTGGCGGGGACTGCTGCCCGTCAGCCAGCAGTCACTCCCCCAACAGGCCAGGGATGAGCAACCGGAGATCCCACAGCAGGAAAGGGGGGCCTGCAGCCAGCCCCTGTGTGCGCCTGTCCGTGGGATCTCCACGGAGATCACGGAGCAGGATAGGGCGGCCTGCAGCCAGCCCCTGTGTGCGCCTGCCCCTGAGTCACTGCTGAGATCCCCGAGCAGGAAAGAGTGGCCTCTAGCCAGCCCCTCTGTGCGCCTGCCCGTGGAATCACCCCAGAGATCATGGAGCAGGAAAGGGCGGCCTCTAGCCAGCCCCCATGTGTGCCAGCCCCTGGGTCGCTGCAGGGATCACAGAGCAGGAAAGGGCGGCCTGCAGCCAGCCCCCTGTGCGCCTGTCCCTGGGTAGCCCTGGGGATCCCACAGCAGGAAAGGGCGCCCCACCCTGGCCACAGCTCAAGGGAGAGTACAACATGCAGTGGAGGCCAGGAGCCTGAGAGATCAACAGAGAGGGGCGCCTGCTCCAAGCCTCCAGGGTGTGGCTGGGGGTAGGCCCCCAGCAGACACACACACACACACACACACACACACACACACACACAGTGCCTACTCTGAGCTTCCAATGTGGTTGGGAGCAGACCACCAGTGGACACACACACGGCAACTGCTCGGAGCCTATGTGGCGGGGCTGGGGGCAGGCCCCCAGCAGACACAAACACACACACACACACACACACACACACATACACACACACAAACTCACACACACGGGGACGGCTGCACCGAGCCTCTGCTGCCAGACTGTGGCCATCAGTAGGACATCCACTGAGGGCTCCCGGACTGAGGGGCAGGCTTGGCTGAGGGAACCCCATCCCCCAGTGCACGAATTTCGTGCACCGGGCCTCTAGTATTAATATAATACATTAAATATATGATATATTATAAAACGATAAAATACATTTTAGGTAGTCTTTTTAACATAATAATTATTTGCCTTAAAAATAAAATTGTACTTTTAAGGCCATATGACCTGAGATTTACTAGATAAAAGAAAATGGTCTAATTCTAGGTTTAAATACACTGAGCTCTATACTCTATTTCTTCTCTGACTTATTTACATCAATTGTGAATACAATCAGTTTGGTGGCTTGCTTCATTTACTGAAGCACAACATTATCTGTCCAAAAATCCTGAGTGGCTTGAAGGGTAAAAATATTTGATATGAAATATTAATAAGAATGGTGGTATTGTTCTGTTTTTCTTAGTAATCCTCAAGACCAGCTGCTTGCAAAAATTATTGAATTACTTAAATAACAAGCCATAGGTAGGTCACTCATAGATGTCAGTGAAATGCTTCAGAAGGAAATATCCACGCATCCTGGAATTACTGCTTTGTAGGAAACCATGAAATAGTTCATCCATTTCCTACTGCTACAATAAGCTAAAACTATTTGGTTCTCTTTTGATACCTAATTATAAAGAAAAAAGGTCAAATGTCATAAATTTTATAGCAGATTATATACTTAATGATCCAAAAGAAAAGAATATATATAATCATTTTAATATAAAATGTATAGGAATTAATTATAGAAATGTCATACTGCATAAAGCAAAGGAAAGGTTACTCAAATTGTAAATGCACTGTACAAATATGTACTTCCCATCCAAAAAGAAGATATGGCAGTTATTAGCACGTTACCTAGAGCTATATTGTTTTATTATACCAAGAAAATCTCTGTGTACATCAGATGTTGGAACAAGTAGGATAAAATAAACAGACCCATCTCACCATTAAATATAAATTTCTTAATGCAATAGGTTATGGTATACCATTAATATCATATTAAGGATATGTGTTTATTATACCAATGTATTTGCAGTACTTTCCCCTATCTATTTAAAATTGAGACCCTGGATCTCAAAACGAAAATGTGTAGGTCTGAAAAAATCTGTTGGGCATGTAGTGACTTGACCATTTTCATTCATTATTTATACAGGCTCCAAATAACCAAAAAGAGAATTAAGTTATATTTTTCCAATTTGACAGCATCCACAAAATCTAGCAATGATTGAAAAGAAAAAGAAATACTGTGGTGTTTTTTTTTTATAAACATAGATTTGAAACTTATTGAGTTTGTGGCGAAATTTCAGATGTGAATACATGAAAGGAGGCTGGTAAGAAGAATGAAGATGAATGTAAAATAATGAATGCCAAGGGAAGATATTTTCAAGTATTTCTAGAGATGTTTCTGCTAATATTCTTTAAAGCTGACTTTAATCATGGTTGTCTTTTTTATTAATATTATGACTAACTAGAGGCCCAGTGCACAAAATTTGTGCACGGGTAGGGTCCCTAGGCCTGGCCAGCGATCAGGGCTGATCTAGGGGCGACCAGCGGGGTGATGGGGGGGGGGGGCCCACCTGCTCGCCAGCCCCACCCCTTGCTGCCACCGCTGGTTGGGGCCTGCGGGCTGGGGGAAGCTCCTGTGTTGAGCGTCTGCCCCTTAGTGGTCAGTGTGCGTTATAGCGACTGGTCGTTCTGTTGTTCGGTCGATTTGCATATTAGGCTTTCATTATATAGGATGGTACCCTAGCCAGTCAATTTCCAGACCGATAAGTTCTTTAAGAAACTCAACATTTCAAATCACAGCTGTATCTGGAAAATTGCAATATTTCTTAGAAAGTCTTGGCCTCCATTTTACTGTACCTGGAATTCTGAGGTTCTGAAACATCTGATTCTGTGCAGGTTTTCTTTACCTGTAAGAAAAAAGTTCTAGTTATTCTCATATGAAAATATAACTTCCTCGTTCAGGTTCACACACTTGTTAAACTTAAAGTGGATACAGCTCTGCTCACCAAGATCTCTATAAAATACTCCCCACATTTTACAGCAGCAGCATGCAGTACTAAATAGTGTATTTCATTATTTTTCCCATGAACAGCTGCCAAAGGCACTTCCCTAGACTCCATTAGTATATAAAATGTTCAGCTAAAATAGCCCAGGACTAGTTCAATGAGGAACAAAGAAACCAAAGAACCAGGAACTAGAAAGCCATACTGTTCCCAATTCACCAAGAAATGTTTTTCAATCGATACTGCTTCTGTCTCCTACTAAAACACACAATAATAAACAGTAGGTTCTGGGGGCAAAGCACAGTGTTAGCTAAAACACTCATACATTAATTTTCATTTTCTCAATCCAGTGGCTGTATGTTCTCAGCATATTAATTAAGTTTCCACATTGCTCTCAGGCTTCTCACATATATTTGCAGTATATTTTTGCAGACTATAGTTCAACTTTGTGGTATTTAACCCACAAAAGGTAAAGAATGAAAATAACTTTTACTTCGGGGACATGCTATCCATTTCTATACAATAGAGTGCAATAGATTTTCTCAAATAAGATAAAGCACAAATCCATTGCCCTTCACAATTTAACTGCAATCACAGTTACGTGTGTTTGATTATTTTTATGGTCTTAATGGTATATTGTATGCAAAACAAACTCAATTTCAAAAATCCTTTAGTGAATCTGAAGCATTAACAACATACGTCCACTGTCATATATTCTGGGTGTCTATATTGCCATGGTCTATTTATGTAACTACAGAATCCAAGGCATTTTAAATTCGGATGTGTAGCTTGGAAGTGTCCATAAGTATACTGAATGTACACTATGGGTATGAACTGCAGTACAAGTGGCATCACTTAAGAGTATGTTTTGAATTTTAAAGATACAGCATTGTCTTTGTAGCACACGACTCTTTTCTCCTCTGATTAGAAGAATGCTTAAAAACAAACACACAGAAAACCCCTACACATTAAAAAATCTGTCTTTTGCTATAAATTTTAAGCCCAGACATTTTCACAATGTGGGCAACCCATTATTTGCTTGATTAACTGTTATCTCATTTATATCTTGTGTGCACATTTATAAAATGTGAAATGAAACTGATTAGCAAAGAGGTGATCCTATTTGTAACATTTTCTATGCCCATTACGTGGAACTCAGCACCATGAGATGAAAGGGTGAAGAAATGTTTCTAAGAGTAATTAGTTTAAAAAAATACTTTTCTTAAAATGTCAACATAGAAGTCACTACAAAACCCATAAAAGTCTTACGTTCACTAAAATTTGTCCAAGGAAAATAAAAACTGAAAGGGAAGGATACCAGAATAAAACCCTCTTGCCCACTGGTTCTTTCCTATGATTCATCACCAGAATCTACAGGAACTGCCCAATAAATATGTAGAAATCATCTCAAAGTGAATGTCATGTTCCTCAAGACTATGATGACTTGACTTGGGGACTGACTGAAGAAGCTCCAGAGCACATATGCACACTAGAAATATACACCCAAGCAAGAGTCAGAACCTAGACAAGCTTCCTATGGTTCAAAAAACAAAGAACAAATTTTTAATACGCATAGCTACACAAAACATCATTGCCCACATAATTACCAGAAAGTTCTGATTATTTTAATTTTCTCTCAGAGTAGTAACTATAATGGTAGAGGACACATCTATTGATTACTTATTATCTAGTACCCATAGAGTCCTAGATCCATAGCTAATAAATATGTGATAAAAGATTGAAGTATAGATATTCTCTTAGATATTGTAAGAAGTGTGCATTATTCAAAATGATTCTTTTTAGGGCTTTCTTCATTTGCTCATGGTCAAATGAGGGAAGAATAATATTTGGGATACCATGACTTCTATAGGAGAGGTCGATTCAGTATTGTGGGTGTTCAAAGGATAATCTAACCCAGCCAAAGAAAGATGGGGATGGCAACAAACTTCTGAACCAAGTCTTAAAGGATATAGGCCTCAAAGAAAGGCAAGTATTTCAACATCATGAGGTTTGCGTGAGGAACCATATCATGAAGACCTTATAAATGGTAAAGAATCTGGAATATAATTTTGATCCAATGAAGACCATTTAAGGGTTTTAAGAAACAGACTGAGTAGAGATGATATAGGACAGGGGTGGAGAACGTCAAGCCCACGAGCTGCAAAGGGCCATGAAATCATATGGTCTGCTGCTGCCAAGGCATTAGGAGTGAAGTAATTAAATGTTTGACCAAATACAGCAGGCTAATTTTTAAGATGATAATTTTGTATGGCCCATGAATGATGTTATAAATATCCAAATGGCCCTTGGCAGAAAAAAGGCTCCCATCCCTGGTACAGAAGATAGTGTGGATGTCCGACTGCAGTAGCTCAGTGGTTGAGTGTTGACCTATGAACCAGGTGGCCACAGTTCAGTTCCTGGTCAGGGTTGGAGGCTCGACACTCAGTAGGGCATGTACAGGAGGCAGCCAATCAATGATTCTCTCTCATAGTTGATGTTTCTCTCCCTCTCCCTTCCTTTCTAAAATCAATAAAAATATATTTTAAAAAAAGAAGATAGTATGGGAGGAGGACAAGATGAGGGCTGAAAGACAGATAACAGCCAAATGCAACAGGAGAGAAAGTATAAGTTCCATGAAAGCAGAGATGATCTTGTACATCACTACATCCCTAAACTTAAGTAGGTGCTCCTGGCTGTGGTCTAAATGTTTGTGCCCTCCCAGAATTCATATGTTGAAATTCTAACCTTCAAAGATAAGGAAGGTGGGTGTTTGGAGGTGTTTAGATCATGAAGGTGGATCCTTTCTGAATGGGATTAATGCTCTTATAAAAGAGACCCCCACAGAACACCCTAAACCTTCTACCACCGAGGACACAACAAGGAGATGGCAATGAACCAGAAAGCGGACTCTCATCAGACACAAGCAGGCTAGTGTCTTGATCTTGGACTTTCTAAATTCCAGAATTATGAGAAATAAATTTCTGTTGTTTGTAAACTACCTAGCCTGCGGTATTTTGTTACAGCAACACGAATGGGCTAAGAGAATCCCCATTCATTTACTAAGTGAATAATTCAATTCATTGGTGAGAGATGGTAAAGAACCATGGGGAGTTGAGAGAATGTTTTTGACAGATATTTGTCAAATTCTGTGTCAGAACACTGTTATCAATTGAGGCAAAGTATAAAGTATAATATGATCTGAACTTTTAATCCATCCTTGAAAAAAAATTTTAGTAATACCAAAAACTGAAAAAAAGTTCTTATGACTTTAAAATACTTTAAAACCTTACCTTATTTCTAAATCGATGGAGAAAAGTTAAATGAATCATTAAGAAAGTTATATGTTTATAGTGTCTTGAACATGAAATTAGAAGCCAAATGGAAAGTTTTACCTAAATTTGAACACACCCTCTCATTTGAGAGATCAGCAACACTTCATTAAATGGTGAGTGCTGAAACATATATGCTATTGAAGAAAGAATATTATTACAAAATATATAGAACCTTCTTTCTTCAATGACTACCAATATAGTTTTGAATACTGTTAAAACATGCAGGCCAAGAAATGAGACAAAATCTCATCCTATAATTTAAATACAAATCCTAGTTTTCATAAAACACGCAAGGAGGTGGGCAAAAAACATGACCATGTTAAATACATTTAAGTGGTTGCATTAACATGAATTTTAACTCTACTTAATGTTACTAAAGTACATGCATCATCAAAGCAAGATGAAAAAGAATTAAAAATTTAACTATTATAATAAACATATAAATGTTTCAAAACACTGAATTTTTAAAAATAAATGAATGAACATTACCTAAATGAATAGTACCTAAAATTTTTGAGTGTTTGTCATATGCCAGGCACAGTGCTAGGTAGATACTATTTTTTCTCCAATTCACAGATGATAATATTGAGAACCAGAAAAATTAATCTGCAAGTGATTTCTACAATAAATTTCAAATCCAGATTTATGAAGGCATTATAACCAGGACATGTTAAGAACCTAATATTCATAAACATATAAGCTGAAATGTTTAAAATTAAGATGCAAAAGTCTTAATATTTAAAAGTTCAGTTTTTATTACATTTTAATAATAAGTACCACCAATTATGCTTTTTCACTCACCGTGCCAGACTATTTATATGTAATCACATTTAATCTATGAAGACAGGTATGATGGATTAAATCCTTCATTTACAAATGAGAAAACTAAGGCTCAAAACAACAACAAAATAAACCACCTAAGGTCCAATGTTCTATAGCCAACGCTAAGAGGGGTGGAATTTGAACTGAAAGCTATGCATCAAGCCCTTCTTTCTCTTTCATGCTAGATATGCCTATTGCTTTTGTTAGTTGTTTTTTAACTAAGAGTTGAAACTAATGTTCCAAGGAACACTTTTTAAAGAACCTACCAGTTACTTCTTGTTAATATATCTATGAAACAAATCTTTTAAATTGGACTACCGAAGAAATCAGTTTTACCAAGCACCAGTAAGCAATGTTCTGAAGAAAATATCTAAATACCTCTAGGATCCACCACCCTAACAACTGCCAAAAACATCTAATATGAAAGACAACTTCCATTTTTTGTTTCCTGTCTGAAATAGCAAGATCCATTCATTCAACAAGGCTTTACTGAATGCATTGGGTATATCAGAGACCATTCTAGGAATGGAGAAAACTAGACTTGGGCAGACCAAGAGAATCACCACTAGCTACATGGCTATTAGACCTTGCAACATGACTAGTCTAAACTGAGATGTGCTATAAGTGCAAAAGGCACACAGCATTTCAAAGACTAAGCATGAAAAAAATGTAAAAATCTTATTATTTTTATATTGAGAAATGAAATGATATTTTAGATCTACTGGGTTAAATAAAAGAAATCTCCTTGTT